AACCACAGAAATCAAAATTAAACAGAAACGCTCACACAGAAGATTCCCAAAAAAAATAAACAGAAAATCACCAAAAAAGCCAGAGAAGTGAATAAAACTAAAAGTTGTTCTCATGCTAATTTAATTTTATACATTTTGCGGCTGTGGCCAATGCTCGCCTTTATTTTATTTTAATTATGTTAATTAAAAACGAGAAAAGAAGGACAGTGGAGGTGGACAAATCGAGACCCAGAATATACTTAAGTTTATCACCTGAAAATCTGCAATCTGAATTAGCTGACTTTGTGATATTTGATAACCATTAAAATCAAACCATATTGAGAACAGGCTTCTTATATAACCTTTGTTTTGATGGAATTGGAATACATTTTATGATAATGGTTTTTAGAAGAACTTTCCTTTAGGAAATTGTATGACATGTTTGTGTATAAATCTTAGCTTTAATGAATATTAATTAATTTAAATGTGTTGTTAAATTGAATACAAAAATATATTTTTGGGTCCTTGCACTTTCTGTTTATTATAGTCTTTTTACTGAAAAACATTTTTTGTATTTATAGAAAATAGCCAACATTCAGAAATTCATTTATTTTAATTTAAAAAACTTAAGCTCCATTAAAAAAAAAAAATTTTAAAGAGTATACATTTTTTATGTTATAAAATAAATAACAATGGACTCAAAATGTCAACAATTCAGCTCGAATACTTAAGTTAATAGAAGAGTTTCAGCATCTATAACAAAAAAAGATTCAGAAAATCATATTCTAATTAAATTTATAAAAAGAAGAAAGAAAGACTTCCCTATTAAACAGAAATACCCTTAGTAAGAGTATTTTAGGGGGTGATAAAAAGAGATCTCCATCCAGAACTGATAGCTGAATGCGTCACATATTAGACAGATGAAACTGGCTAATCAATATTCACCCATTTGCGTAGCCATGAACTTACCGAAGAAGAGCCTGAATTTTGAATGGGCCATAATACTCAACTCGAGTCTGGAGATCAGTGAGACAAAGTGGAACCAGTTGGCACCACCGAACCATCCAAACCACCGAGTACACCACACTTGGCGGAGTCTGCGCTCGAGCAAACCTACCTCAATGGCCAAACCATCTCTTTTGGCCATTGCGAATGCAGCGGATGTATCTCTGAGATACAAGTGCGCTCCGCTCGAGAGCGATTCATTCAATTCCGACCAGATCCGATGCGATCCGCGTATAAAACCAATTTGAGCGGCGGCCTGCGAACCAGTTGAGCGCTGACTTTGCAAACGTTTTCACGTCTCCAGGCCAACAAAAAAGAAATAATAATAATATTATAAAAACCCACCGTAAGCTAACGAGGCCAACACAAATGCATTGGCCAAAAAAGACAAGCGACACGGCAAACAAGTAAAGACAACACTTTTCATTTCGCGCCTGTCTTTGCAAAGCTTCGCTGACTTTGCCGCTGCTGCCTTTGTTTGGCTTTGTTTTGGCCTGGCTTTTTTTTGCGGGCCAAGTCAAGTGTTTGGGCCAGGTCTTTGGGCCGTTTTATTCGTTCAACGGGCGCTTGAGCGAACGGTTGTTGCTTTGTCTTTTAACTTTGGCTTTGTATCTTTGCATCCGACGGATACGCGATTCGATTCGAGCCGTGCCGCGATTTTCTGTGTGTGTGCGTGTGAAGAAAGAGCTATATTTATATATAGATAGATATATATATATATAAAATTTATATATATTTTGTTTTCGTTTTCTGGCTGGCGAAATAGCCATAGAAATCCGCCATCGTAATAGCAATAGTTTTTCCAGTGTTTATTACATAAAATATCAACGCAAAAATTGATATTTCTCTATATATATACGAATGCCCAGCGAGAAAATCTTATGCAAATGCGTTTTCTCAAAAAATAATTAAGCGCCAGCCTCGAGATTTGGCAAGAAAGTCGTTTGCAGTGCCTCAGTGAGTGGGGATTTCTTGGATTTAATTTCGATTTTCGGATATACTGCAGTGCAACCTCTAAACATCAAGGTAGGCCCTCGGCAAACTGCAGGCAAACTGCAAAACAATCTTATATAATGCGTGTGTGCTCCAAATTTGAACTTACATAACGATCTGCGGGCCACGCACATAATGATGTATCGCTATCGGCGCCATTAGCATAATTCAATGCCTACCAAAAACCAAAGAAAAAATCAAAATCTGTCATAAATCGGAGCAATTTGCGTAAGCGGCAATCATTAGGAGGTGTTCGAGTGGATTTTGTAGCCCGGGTTAATAACTTAAACTTTGCCATTCAACAAAAAATAACAATGATGCTGCCGACCAGCCATCACATGTGCCCCATGAATATGGAAAAGAACAAGTAAACAACAAGTTTCCCAGCGGGTAGCCACCTGACAACCGATCTTAGCTTACATGGCAGGAAAAAATATAATTAAACAGCTCTTAAACGTTTTGTGATTTTAAAAAATATACGGAAACAGTAAAAGCCAAATAAAAAATAAATAAAAAGTTACTGCTATTTTTTGAGATAGTTAAATAAATATTCGTTGAATAAAGTATTTTTATTAACTACAGTTCAAATTAAAAAAAACATAAATCATGTTAAAAATTAATGTGTTAGTATCATAAATCAGCATGAGCATTTTTGTTTTATTCAAGAAACTAATAAACATAAAAATGAAAAAGTCAATAAATTAACACTGCCATTAATTTGTATTATGTCTTAGAATTTAGTTTGCCTGTCAATACAATCCTAGTCAATAAATAAAATAAAACAAAGGTTAAGGCTGAAACACTTTAGAAACTAAATAGGTAAAATTTTAATTTATACTTAAACTGCTAAAGGATAAATGGAATCTAATTTCTATTTAGATTTGCCAGTATTATAAACAAATTGGCATGCTCAACAATAACTTAACTATTTTAAGGCTAATTGGCATGCTAACCAATATTTTAGTTGATTTTATTAAACCATTTTGGGAGATTTGATAGTTTGACCTTATGGCTAAAAACAAACTTGTTTATGCGATAACACCTATTAGTATTAATTTTATGCAAAGTTCCATTTTTTATAATTTGCGAGCATTTTTTTTTCAATTAGCAAGTTCTGTTTCGTATAGCTGGTTTAAGTTTGCATTTATTTTTGTTTTGCGGTTAGTGCTGGTATTATGATCCCTAAAAGCCCCTAGCCCCTAGGTGTAGGAATGTATAAATTCTTCGGTAAATTGTATAAAAACAATCCAATGGAGTCACTTGCATTTTCTGCTCATAGCCAAGACGAAGCCAAAAGCTGCCATGCAATCGATGACTTGGACAAAAATAACTTGTTGTTTGCGATTGTTGTTGGTGGTGCAGGTTAAATGCAACAGCCACAGCAGCCGAGAGTGGATTGAGATTGAGAGTCACAGCAGCCACCCGCTTGTCTTACACTTGAAAAAAATATTCTTAAAAATATATTTTATCTAGAGGATATATAAACAAAACATTTATAATTTTTTAGAATGAAACTATACCATTCCATATGGTGTTTATACAATTTCAGTTGCCTAAAAACCTTTTATGCTTCATAAAAAAATTAAAAATTACTTTGTTGGGAATCTGTTCTTTATTAAAAATTGAGAAATTGAGGCTCTACAAAAAGATTCTGTTAAAACAACGATCATTTGGGATACTTTGAGGGGTATTTTTTCTTTTCATGGAGTAGTTAGTTCATGAAAATCTTAATAAATCACAAGAAAATATATTTTATAGTGTAGCGTTTTTTCTGCAGCATTCTTGGAAAATCTCTTGGTTTTTTTGCCGAGTATCTGTGTTTGCGATGGCGGGTGTATTTTTTTTCCTCCTCTTTTTCTGCGAATATATATGTGTGCATCTCTGCGTTCAATTGCACATCAGCTTACAAAGTATCCGTAGCCGCAGCCGTAATTTATTTGCATTGTTTAGCTTCGTACCGTTTTCTTGTGCGGCTGCAATGATACTTAGGCTACACAAAAAAAAGCGGCGATTTACATAAAATTTATTGCTGCCACATTACAAGTTAGTTAGTTAATGTTGCCCGCTGGCTGAATGACTGAGTGGCTGAAAGGCCCGAGTGCCTGCTGCTGTTTAATTGTGTGAAAAGTGCTTACTGCAACGTGTGGATTTTGATTTGGATTTGCCCAAGTGCCGGCACATCACGTATACGACACGTGGCGAGCCTTGAACTCGACCAAAAGGGTTTCGCTCCAACCGGTTCGGCTTACATTCGCAATTGAGAAATCAAACCAGAATCGGTTTAACCGCATACCAATACCGACCAATCGCGGGCAAATGCCAAGTGAAGTTGTTTCGAGAACATATTAAACTTTTTGGCAGACAACAGTGTTATATATAATCGAACAAATAATATATCTAATTTATGTTAACTAATTCATTCAAATTATGGATTTACCGTTTGCGTCACAGTGTCTTTATGGCTGGCAGCGGAAAGATTTTCGAGTGTGCGATCATAAATTTTGGTGCTAAAATGTGCAGATCAAAGGAACTTGTTATACGGCAAACATGAAAATAAATTGGGCAGTATGTGAAAGATTAATCTTAAAGACATGCTGACTTTAAACCACTCTAAACCACTGGTGTCCATATAAAAGCAATTCTAGATCATAGTGCTTAGGAAATACTTCCGATGTCTTAAAACCATAAAACGCTGTTTGTTCAGGAAATTGCAATACATTCATGCCCATAAAAATATAAGAACGCCTTATAGTTTTGTATCTTTTTGTTTTTTCTGGGCTGCAATATTAAATGAATGACTCAAAAATATTCCAAACTCATAATACGTTATTATTCTTGTGGTTTTAAAATTAAAAATCACTTCATACTATTTTAGTGTTGTCCTTGCTTAGTTGTATAACAAGTTGGTGACTAATATTAGGATGATTTAACCACCAAAAAGCCCCAAGAATCAATGGATAGCCTGAAAAGTTCCCCTGTTCACCAACCTATGTTGATCTCAATATCACACCTTTTTCTTGCAGAAAACCTAGCCAACAAGTCCGACAAGTTTATGGCTTAAGATTTAATACAAGATTGCGAAATAAATATATATAAATAAAAATGCTGTAGCCTTTGCAAAGACTTGGTTTCCGTGGCCACATCAATGTCTAATGATTTTGATGGTTTTTGTGTGGTTTCTTAGCTTTGTATCTTTGTATCTTTGGGATGCAGGCCTAATCCGCACTTCAAAGGCAGCCACAGGGCGAATTCGCACTACAAATTGGATGATTTGCGATCTTTGGCCTGTCGAGGGTTGTCAGATCTTTGGAGTGAGGAAGGGCAACTTCAATGAGATGTTACCGTGGCGTATCTAAAAATATCAGCTTATACCCAACGATGGGTATCTGAAATATTTCATCGGCATCATCAGCTGGTGATGGCGGTTATGCCCTTGTAACGATTGTTATTTCTGGCGAAGCACAGATGCTGATATGTTAATGACGGATGGACATCGTCTTGGGATCGAAAGAGGTATACTTGCTGGTCGAACATGTGAACATATATGTACATTGTATGTCCAATCGGTAGCCGATCCGTCTTTTCTTATGTGGCAGCTGCTGATGGCATTTAAATCACTGAATTGGCATTGTGTGATCGATCAATGCTTCTTGCCGGGTATCTTGCCGCGTTTAATGGAATTTTAATTAATTATTAGTTTCGTGCGACCTTTTAAGGCCGCTTTCCAGTTGCCCACCTCCATTTCCTGAACGCATATTTTTCGGCCTAACAATGGGTATTATTATTAAAATGGTATTCATTGATTGCCGTTGCCAAGGAAGGTTTTTTAGATTATACCATAAATCAATGTTCTTCTCAAGCTACTGTTGATGAAGTCAAAACTTGAACCATTCATTATTTATATTTTGCCTTTAATTGGTAATCTTTTTCTACAAGTATCTAATTTCCATCAAAATATGGTTATGTGTATAAACAAGAAATTAAGATGCAATAATTAATTGGCTTACATTTTCCCACTGCCAAACCATTTGTCACTTGACTTTCTTTAAACTTGACCATTGAAAATTAATTTCCTCTCAAGCGGTATTTCCCCCTTAATGGATCTATAAATTCATTATTTATCGACTCGAACAGTTTCCTTAAACCAATAGGTTGGTGTAAATCGAAAAATAAGCCATCAAAATATGGCCATAAGCTGTCAAGCTTTTTATTGCTTAACTAAATTATTATGTCGGACTGATATCAATTGGATTAAAATGTTATGTTTTGGGTAGCAAAGTAATCGCATCATTAGTGGTGCCACTCTGTATCAGCTTTGAAAATTGTTTATGTTCATTAATTGTCTAGACGAATAATGGTGATTAACTCAAGTTGAATCATTTATAATTATTAATTTTTAAACATTTTTTTAAAAAAGTATTTGACTTTGATCAGGGTCAACATAAGAATTCCAACGAATGCCTTATAATTTATGTATAATTTTACTTTTAAAATCGAATCCGTAAATATTTTTCATTTGTAATGTTTTGAATTATTATTGATATGTTTTCATAACTCATTGTTGTTGTAATTGAATATATTTTATAATGGTGCAATTAGAGTTCTACTTAGAGTTTAGTTTCTAGATAATTTCATAACTCCAAAACGCCACCTGGTTTATTTTATCTTGTTTGTATTTATGGGTATATTAGTTTATTACATTTTAGCTTATACACAAAAAAGACTTTTCGTGTTTATATAATGTCTTAATGTTTAAATATTTTAAACACTTAGCTAAGGGGTAAAATTATGATTTAACCATTTATTAAATACAAGTTAAAATCCCCTGGAGCTGAAACTTAGCTATGTTTTTTTATCAAATATTCATAGGACTTGCCAAAATGTTGCTTCCATTTGTGTTTTTGGGTTTAAACTTCAAGATTTTCATTTTTAATTTCTTGTTAATTTCTCTATCATCGTTTACAAACACGTTGATGACTCCGTTGGTGTCTATAATTTGCTTAAATTTTGTTTTTAACAATTTATGTTAAATTTGCGGGCTTTGGTGTAGCTGTATCGTTTTAAATGTGCTTTGATAGCTTGGTTTTAGTACAAGTCCGAGTTTGAGCCGGTTTTTCTGAGCTGAACGATCAACTTTTTAGTTTTTTTAGGTTCGACTTTTTTTCCATTTCTTGTTGATTTGCTGCTAAATATGTGTGTACGTTTGTGTTTTTAGCGATATTGATTTTTCGCATTAAGCGCATTTCTGCGTACCGATTTTTCAAGGCCAATAATCGTAGTTGTCTTGGAGCGGGATGTTTGTTGGGAGGCGATTCCAGGGGGAGTTGCCGGTCAATCGGGTTTTTCATTTATATCCGAGGCTCAATTAAACGGCATCCCATTTATCGTTGTCATTTCTTTTTCGCCATTTCGCCAGGCTTTCCTAAAAAAATATGTGTGCAAAAGACCAAGTTTGAAGTGTCAACGCAGTCGGTCTAATCAATTTGGCTAACCGCTACTTGGGAGTCGGATGAGATGATTAGGCCATGTTTGCCGCCCGGTTATGCAAGTGTTGGCCATCTATCCGAGATTTGAGACTGGAGATTCGGGTCTGGAGATTCGAGATCCGATCCGGCGGGGCGGTGGCAATAAGCCATCTCAGGTGTCGTCATCGCCGGGTTTCAACATATTTCTGCCGCTTTTTATTTTTCCAGCCATTGTTGCTGCTGCTGAGCGGCAGTTCCGCCAATTAGCGACGCTTCCGCTGCTGCACACACATACGAGGAATCATTTTCTCGGCTTTTCCTTTTTACTTTTCTCGCCTCCATTCATTTTACATTGTTGCACATGCTAGAGCAGAAAAAAAGCGCAAATAAGTTTTCAATTACCTCCCCGGTCTTGTTAACTTTTTATAAGCCAGTAATTGTTTAATAAACATCGATAAATATACGATAAGTCACCACAGGATATGAAACTTAATATAAAGAAAGGTAATACAATTTAAAGTTGCCTTAAATAAATAAATAAATTATTGTAACAATCTAAATATTTAAAATTAATTACTTTAAAATAAAATCTTGTATTTCTTATTATCACCTTAATTTAAACATTTTTATAATTTACTATTCAATGTCCAAAAATAGACTGTTTCTCAATCCTATAGAAACAATTTCAAACCTCTTAAAAAATAATAAACTCAGTCAAGGGCATTGCTTTCTTTGCTTTTTTTCCATTGTTTCATCAAGAAACAATTTAATTTGAAACATTTGCATAAATTTACAGAGCCAAAAAGCCATAAAACATTGCGCCTTCGGTTACGCGTCAGAAATTAACAAATTAGTGCGATGTTTCGCAAGGCAACGCCAACAAACTTCCGAATTAGCCGCAAACCCAATCAACGAAACCCCGCCGAAATCCAAAAACCCAGCCACAAAGACCCAAGCCGAACATAAAATGTATAAAGAGACTTTCAAAATGTGTTTTCAAAATTAATGCCGCACATGCTTTTGGCATGCAGATGGCCCAAAATCTTGTACTTGCAACTTGCAACTTGCAGTTGCAGCTCTGGAATTTGTTGGCCAGCAGAATCCGGCCAGCAAAGTTAACCAGCCACTGCCAATTGATGGACCATGCCAGATGGGGTCTCTAGAGCTTAGAGAAGAGTCTAGCATCTGTGGTCTTAAGTCTATCGTCTATCGTCAATGGTCTATGGCAGCCGCTTCTCACGCTTGTCAGAAAATGTCAAAAGTGAGGATGCCATGAATATTGGGGGATACCCAGAGTGAGGCATCTTCTTATGAACAGACAGACACGAAGATTGAATGCCCTTGGTAATATTTGTTAGTAATATGTATCAGCAGAATTATGGATTTGTTTAATAAATTGGAAATTCCATAACATATGTGTTTCTTTTCTAAAAGATTATTAGGTATTTTAAAATAGTTGGTTACAGTAGGTTAATTTTTAAACACTTTTAACTACTTCAGTTCTTTTATCATAGAGTAGGTTAATATTAAAACACTTTTAGCTACTTGAATTAAAATTATTTAATGTTAATAATCCTAATTATTAAAATTAGCATTATATCTTACAGTACAAAGCCTTTTTTGCTTTGAAAAACCTATAAACTATAAACTATATTACCCAAACTTCTTGAAAACCCAACCTTTAAAGCTTTATTTCTTACTAAAAAATATCAGATGTATTAAAATACTTAAACGTATTTACATAAATATCTAATTACTTAGCGCCCCGAAACGAAGATGTGTGAAATCCGTTAAAATCAATTACTTTAGGCCTAAAGCCTCTTAAGGATTTGTAGGCGTCAGTTGAAGCTGCTTGAGTGTTTTCCCATTAGCCAGAAACTCTGACAACGGCCAAACCGACTCGAAAAATGTTGAGCACACTTTTGCGGAAATCATGGAATGAGTTTCAAGAGAGGTTTGTTTTCAGACTGTTTTATGCGGAATTTCGATGGGTCTTTTGAGCGGGGTCTTGACCAATTGTCACAGGCGCCATCGCCATCGTCTTAGCCATGGTCATTGAAAAACGGTGAAAGACGAGCTGACCAAATGGACAGGGTTCAAGACAGCTGGATGGCTGCTGTGTCATCTTGCAGGCGCCTCTTTGTTCACAGACCCTCATCCTCTTTTAAAAACCCCCAAACCCCCTTTCGGATCCATGAAATTTTTACCAGTTTTGCGTGAAGATGGCTTTTTGCCTCGCCTGGCCTGGGCACTGATGACCTTTTACGTCGCCTTAAGACTGCCTTCACTTCATCACGGACTCGACTTTAGAGAGATGCAAAAAATTTGCATATCATTCATTTCTGTTGCAGGCGGTCTCTGGTCTCTGGTCTCCATACCCATTCCCGTTCCCAAACTCCTGGCGCTGAAAATTAGTTGCGAGGGAGGCCGAGATAAAAAACAGATTTACGATTATTTCGTCTGGCGGATCTTTCGTGGCCTTTTCGCCATCGACAACATCATCTTACGCATCCAGAGGCCATAAATTGCGATAAAATGTCAAGGATTTACCGGGGTCCTAAGTGAAAGACTTGGCTTAACCAAGGGAATCGCCAAT